CAGGGCTACCCCGCGCCATCCTCTTCCTATTTCGGCGGCGTGGACTGCAGTTCATACCTAGCCCCCATGCACTCGCATCACCACCCGCACCAGCTCAGCCCCATGGCACCCTCTTCCATGGCAGGCCACCATCACCATCACCCTCACGCACACCACCCTTTGAGCCAGTCCTCGGGCCACCATCACCACCATCACCACCACCACCACCAGGGCTACGGGGGCTCGGGTCTCGCCTTCAACTCTGCCGACTGCTTGGATTACAAGGATTCTGGCGCCGCCGCTGCTTCTTCCGCCTGGAAGCTCAACTTCAACTCTCCCGATTGCCTGGACTATAAGGACCAAGCCTCATGGCGGTTCCAGGTCTTGTGAGGCGAGGAGTGGGAAGAAGAGAAGAAACGCAACTACCTGCGCCCTCCATGGTTCCCGTCCTGTTGCTGCTGCTGCATCTCCCGCCTTTGCCTCGGCTTCTCCAAAACTGAAATTCCGCACCCCCAAAAGATGCCCATTGCCTGCACTGTTGCCCATATCTTCGTGCCACTTGCTTGGGGGATGTGCAAACCCACCTACCCCTTGGATGGGGTCCGGTGCTTCCTCTTGGCCTACACATTCTATAGGGGAGAGCTGTGAGCTCTCTTCCTCAACCCCCACCAAGCTCCTAAGTCACCCCCTTCCTGTCTTTCTACAGCTGTTATGCACTTGCAGCCTTCGGAGGCTCTTCTCTCTGACCCGCTGTTTGAGCCCAACACTTTTATTTATTCTTGCTGTACTCTGGAGTCACCAACTGGCGCGTTTCTGCTTATTTGAGTGCACCCACGCACTACTCCAAAACAACCATTAAGTGTTTCTCCTGCGCAAACTGCCGTCCCTTCAGCTGCCCTCGATCCCGCTCCCCGCCCGCAGGCCAGAGGACCCCAGCCTTTCCTCCTCCCGGATGGGGTGCGCTGAGCTTGGCCCGCGGGCGCTCCTTCAGCCTTGCGCACAGAGCCGCCCCGCCCTGCGCCGGACTGGTTCAAGCTTCCGCCTCGGCGGGAATGCTGTACATAGTCGGGTCCGTTCCAGGGACCCCTTAAACTTTTCAGTTGCTGTTGGTTGAACTGAGCATATTCCGTCTTAGCGCCCAGAAAACAGAACTTTAAGAGATATACAGCACATATATATGTGTGTGTATATATCTATATATATGTGCACACACATATACATATATAAAACGAAAGCAAAAAATATTTTCCCTCTCTCCCTTCCTCTCCTCAAATGATGGCGCCTTTTCTTTTTCAGTCGTTGCAAAAGCTGTCCTGCCCTCTTCACATCTTGTCCCTCCGTGTATTTATTAAAGAGAACCCGCTTGGTTCCAGTTAGCTGGGGTGGAGGATCAGGAGTGTGGAGGAAACAGCAAGTCAGAGTACAGGGGTGGTGCCAGGCTTGGAAGGGGCGTAGAACTGAGCCCCTGACCCTGCCTAAGCATAGGGTCGCACTTCTGGTTTATAGACCAAAAACAAACAAAAGAAAAACCAAAAAAAAAAAAGTAAAAACACAGCATTATGGGAAAAAAACGAGCCCAGGCCCTAAACCCCAGCGCCAATTCCTCTGTCGGCTTCACTCTTGAAACACCCTGTTTTGTCTAGTGAGTTCCTAGTGCACCTTCATCCTCCGAAATCCGCGGAGAGCCCGCGCGCCTGTGTATCAATTTTGGCTTTGGCCGCTTCGTCCAGTAGGTGGGAAAGTAATTTGTAAAATTGATTTGTCCAATGTGAAGATCACAAATTACTTGTCGAAATGTAAGGCAATGCCCCTCCTCTTTATCTACGTTATTTCCCGAAAATAAACGCAAATTAACGAACGGCTTGTCAGTGTTGCTCTTCTGATTCCAGCTCTAGATGCCAGTCTCAGGGGGCTAAAAGTGAGGGAAACGTCGTGTTAATAACACGCGTGTTAATGACCTGCGTGAGGCCGGAGGCTAAAGGATGGGTGGGAGAACAGGGCGAGAGGAGCCCCCAGAGGTGTTCTCTTGGGGAGTATGCTCCCTCCCACTGCCCACCCCCGTCAATCTGGCCTATTCCCCCAGGCGTTTTGACCCCTATCCCTCCAATTCTCCCCACCCCCCAACCATCCAGGACAGAGACAGGTGTCAGGACTCAATTCCCGAAGCAATTCCTTTCTCTTCAGAGGCAGGAGCCTGGCACTGATTTCTTCACCCTAATTGCCTGCACTAGAAAGAAGAGGGGGAGGGGAAGAGGGTCGGGAGGCGGGAAAGGATAGCTCAGTAATGCTCTCAGAGCTGAGCCAAAAAGGAAAAGAAAACAAAACGACAAAAAACCGATCCGTGTCCTGCATGTTGGCAGCAGACTGCCTTCCCTTCTGCTGAGCTGTCCCGGGTGGCTTCACCGCGGCTAGGGTATCCGAGTCATTCCTCCCACGTGCTAAGATGTCCCTCTAAACCACTTTGCCCACGCCAGAAATAGCCACTTGATCTTTGTTCATATTGTAGAGTTTCTTTAAAACACACAAACCCAGGACCTGGCAAAGTCGGCAAGGAGGCATTCCACTTTGGCAGGCGAAGACGACACCCGACTTGCAGTGGGGGGTCGGGAAGGACAGTTCCCCCTTCCTCTGAAGGAAGAAGGGGCTGGCGGGCTGTGCCCCAGAAAATCTCGAGCAGGAACTGTCCAGACTGTTTGGCCCGAAACCTCCTGGGCGTAAGGCTGAGAAGCTGCTCGACTTGTCCACGGGCAGGAAGGAAATAAGGAAACAACGAAAAGTTTCCTGCGAAGTGACCAACACCCCCTATTCTTTATATTCCGGGTGAGACCTGAGAACACGCCGAGAGGCCCGGTTCGGAGAGCGTGCGCTCCCCCAGGGTCCGGAGCCCAACGAGGTCGCAGGGCCACGAGTCTTGACTGTAGAAAAGCCTGTCGGCCACGTCCTCTCTCCGGATCCAGTGGGCCCGGCTCGAGTCCAACCTTCCCACTTCAACGAACCGACGGTCCCCGACGCCACATTATAAGCTAAAAGTGAATGAGATGGCATATTCAAAGAGCTGAAAGAAAAAAAAAAACTACCAACAAAGAATGCTATATATGAGGCCAGCAGATGGCATGGTGGTTAAGGCAGTGGGCTCCCACATGGCCTACCATGGTACAAGTCTTGGACCCGGAAACTTGCTTTCTCACTTTCCCCTCTCTCTTTGTCTGTCTCTGGCCTCTGCGCGCTCCCCGCGCGCTGCTCAGGCTCCGGTGCTGGTGGCCCCGACCCGCTGTCCCCGGAGGCTGGTTCTGTGCGGGCCCGCCGATCTCTTGGGCGCTGGTGCTGCGAACCCCGGGGACCCGGCCTTGCCCTTGGCCGGACCACCGCGTGGCCTCCGGAGAAGTTACCTAAGCGCCCGGGCCTCGCTTCGTCGCAGTAGTTATCTGGGACGTCCCAGAACTTCCCACTTTAGACCCGGGCTGTGGGCAGGAAGGTCAGACGCGACCCATGACCCGGGCGCGTCGTGGCTCCCAGAAACGTCGGAGCCTGAGTACTCGGGCAGGAGGGGACTGGCCACGGGCGCACGAAGCCCGGCCGCAGTTCCCGCCTCACGGACGAGGCTTCGAGAAGAGGCACGTGCTCCGCCTTGGGCCTCCCAGCCGGGGCCAGGCCCCGTGGCGCCCAGTGGAAACGGGCGAGGGCCCCTGAGCTGGCCCGAGCGCTCGGCGGCCGCGGTGGGAACGAGGACGGTCCCTGCCGGGCCGCCGACCACCTGTTAACCGGGAGGCTCTCGAGAACCGAGGTCGGTTCGCCCTCTTCTCGAGGCAGGAGGTTGGTTCAGTTTGAGTTTTGATATGGGCGACACAATTGAGGTCCCTAGAATGGAAGCGACTTCAGGAAAGCAGCCACCTCAGGAAACAGCAGAGTGAAGTTTTCTTTGAGGGCTCAGCCGTCTGTCCAGCCTGGGCCGAGAGGCTCTCAGACAGGAGCGTGCGCGAGGGGACTCAGGGCAGGGGTGGGCCGCGTTTGCGATTTAGAAAGATTTTCTAAAAAACGGTCTCAAACCCATTGCTTTAATCTGCTGAAGCTCTGAAAAAGATTCGAAGTAACGTCGTTTGTTGAGGTTTGCTGTAGTCTCACAGCGGTTACGGGGGCTATAGGGAGACAACGATTCTCTAGATACACTGTGAAACTTTATACTTTGGACAAAATCTCTTATATATATAGGGTATTAAACGTGAGGGGGAAATCTGATTGAGAGGAAAACCAGGTAAAAACCTAAAACACTGAACGCCACCAAATTCATGTCAGCTACATTACAGAGACCAAAAAGTTGTGCTTTTGTTTTGTGTGTCAAAAGAGAAGCACAGGTTCCCCCCCCCCAGAAAAAAGAAGCACAGGTTCCCCCCCCCCCAGGTATTTTGTGAAGAATAACAGTTTCCCCAGATAAATTGTAATTTCTTTTTCAATTGTAAAAATAAAAGATAAATTCATTACTACTCTTGGCAGAATTCATTAATGTTAATGATGTCATTAGTGCCTGATGACAAGCACTGAGGTTTTCTTTAGAGGGACAGAAATGAAATCTGATACAGAAATGTGGTTAATATATACATTATTGGTGAGGAGAATCTGTATCATTACTATTCAAGACCAAAAAAATCACTTGGCTTTCAATGCAGAATTAATTTAGGAACAGCAACAAGATATCTTTATAAAATTCCCTAATTAAAAACAGAACAAGTTCTCAACAAGTTAGTCTATATTTTCCACACGTTCTCTCCCTTCCCCCATACATTTTAATGTTTAAAATGAAGATTTTAAAAAATCTCAAATTTAACTAAGAAATATTTATATTCAACAATATTTTACTAAAACCCACCAGCTTAAAAATGAATACTAACTAATAATAATGCATTGCTTATTTGACAACACAATTTTATCATTATTTTAAAGAAATAAGTTGTTTAAATAAATATTTGGGTGTCTGGACTGTATTTTTTTGAAAACCAGAAGCTATTTTTTTGGATCATATGTAGTAGATAGTTCCTGAGAACACATTTATGCCTCATAATTATCCTGTTCAAATGTACTGATATCTGAAAAAAATAATTTTTTATGGAGAAGGGGAACATGACATTTTAATCTAATGATTCCTTAATCATATTTTAAAATCGAGTTGGATTTTTCTTAAAATATTGATACTGTAATAGCAATAGTCCTTCAAAAGTTTTAAGAAACATAAAATATTTGCAAAAAAAACCCTTCAATAATTTACATGAAAGGGCGGCTATGATATAGCCAAAGTTGAATTTTAAATATATCGAGTTTTTTCTTAGGAAAAAAATTAAGTAATGTATAGTATGCTTGAGGTTAAAATGTATTCCAGTGTAATTTATAAAATTGTACCTTTAATGGATTTTAGGACTATTACTTGAAAGGTAAGGATCTGGCTAAAGTACTTTGGAGTATTTTGTAATCAAGTAGAACTTAGCCTCCATTTTTAATCAGTGATGAGCAATCAGAATTTAAACATTGAAAATCTACTGTGTTTCTAAAAATTATATCTCTTTTACTGCCTTTGGATTCTTTACTTGTTGACTAATCAAAAGAGACAAAATTACATACTATTTCAAAGGTCACAAATACTTTTATAAAGGTTAAGCTTTATTGAACAGCTTATGAAAACTATTTTAGAAAATTTTAGAAATTAAAAAAATAGATTGTAAAATTAGAATTTAAGAAACTTGAGTAAAAAATGTGGGAGAATTTAACTGAAATATAAATAAGCCATAACTAATTTTGACACTTGGGGTGAAAATTCAACTGTAAGAACTAAAGGTCTCTGATTCAACAGCTTGGTGTTTCGAGAGCTTATAAAATATTTTTAGTATACAATATTCTTATGTATGTTCAAAGCGCTAAATGCTTATAAGATATACCATCATCTGTCATAGCTATTTCAATATAGAGATCATGTTTTCTTTTAAAATTGTATTTTAAAAATTTTTACTGTAAAATATACATACAAAGGAAATTATAAGACAGAGGTATACACTTTAAAGAATAATAAAGTATGCATGGAGCAACAAGTTTTTAACAAATTCTTCAAAAAGTAGATTTTCAGTTGGCTACAATGTAAATGTGATGTTATATAACATGTATCTATTTTTAGGGATTTGGTTAAATCCTTTAGAGTAGTAGCTATTACTGTGTAAAAGACACTTTTGTGAGGAAGAAAAACACTTCAAACCATGGGATATAAACATTTTACAGGCCTTTGTAAATTCATAGTTTGTTTCTTGATGGAAAATATGTGATATATGTCTATTTACATTTTTAATTAAAGAGCATCAAGAGAAACTCTTGTTTCCTAAGCATGGCTTTTTAACCTTATCCAAAACTATAGCTTCAAATCTTGATTTCATTCTGGTGATTCTCAACTCCATATTTCTATGGATTCTATGGAGGGCTGGAAACTTTCTCTGTTGGATTTCTTATACCTGTATACCCACTGAAAAGTGGCCATTGGGTTTTAACCCTTAGGAAGTTAATGACAGGATGTCAGAAACTTCAAAGTAATCAAGAAAGAGGGCGTGGTTTGAGTTTAGATGAAACTGGGTTAGTCTGGAGTTGATAGTTGTTGAAGCTGAAGGAGAATATATAGGACTTAATTTTACTATGTTTTTTATATTTAAGGTTTTTCTTCTAATAAAACATGAATAAAAAAGATACTAGTTTGCCAAAAGTAGTCTTGTGATGGAAACTGAGCTTCTCATGCTTTGGAGCGTATATGTATTATTTACATACATTGTTTTATTTAATCTGCTCAAGTTTTGCGAAATTGGTGGTGGTAAAGTGAGGCTCAGAA